AGGAATATCGGATAACACCCATATGCTAAACTCCAGATTTTTTTGCGTCTCCGCTGTATTGCTGAGGCCACAGCTGCAATTGTTTCGATCTGGCAGCGGAAGACAGCGCCGAATGGCAAGGCGTCTCTTGAGCAGGAGGCCAGGAGACAGGTGTCTTGCTGCTTGCTTGGTCTGGACCACCGTGATCCACAACACTGCCGCAACACCAATGTTTCAAGGCTCCGGTAGGAGTAGCATGAGTAACATTCAGAGAATAGCTCTGTCGGACAAGACCGGCAACGCAAGTTACTGAAGTCATGCAGAAAGGACATGCAGGAGTGGACACATGACAAGCAGACAATCATGAGCAGTCCTTTAGGGTTAGCGCTTAGCTAGCCTGACACTTCCGTAGCTTTTGCGATGCGAGCTGTGCTGAAAACATTTTGCGGCTGCTGCTATCCAAAGTACTCCTCGGTTGCCAAAGACGGCGAAGAGGAAGGTGGAGCTCCTCGCCCAACTCGCGTGTGGGCCTCAGAAGATAAGTTAGGCGTGCTGACTCCACTCGTGAGGCGTATCATTTCTGCACGGTGTGCTCATCCCAGAAGCAGGATTCAAGGATTGAGGGTGGAAATAGATGCAGTCTTCAGACTACTACACAAACCGAAGCAGAAGGGGAACAACTGAACTAAACAAGCCACGTTGATCTACGAAGGCTCTGTGGTGCAAGCGGCGTAGTAAGCTAGTGCATGATGCTGTTATTAGTACTCCACATATCCAGTGTTCATATGCTTATACCTGGCTCTGGTCAGTCCACTCGACAGCTTTCAAGCCCACACTCACAACACACATGTTCATCGAACTATGAGACGACGCCCGACTTTCAAATCTTGCATCTCAAACTCCAAAGAGTCACAGGCCAAGTGCTTCATTTTGCAAGCTATGGAACTGCAGGCTAGTAGAGGTAGTACCCGAACCCCAAACCACAGGCGCAACTCAGAAGCGTTGGATCTGAAGCTATTGACCCATTACTCTCATTACCTCTACTCCTTCCGCTACGCTTGCATGATTTTCCAAATAGCACCAATTCAGACCTATACCATTTTGGGGATCCTTATTATAACTATAGTATAATATACCCCCAAACCCTATTTTGATAAGTGAGGCCCCCATAATAGCACCAAGTCAGACGACCAGGTCGGACAGTCGGATGGGTCGGACGAGTCGGAGTTCGATCTTGAGAATCCGCCTTTGGCTCCCCCGGCGGCCAGGGGTCCTATCTACAGGCGCTTTTGACTAGGAAGCCTTATAAACTTAACCCTAACCCCCCAGGTGCCTACTATATAGGGCCCTAGGGGCTCTAGTACCCTATATAGTAGGTACCTGGGGGGTTAAGGTAATATCTGCAAATGTGCAGCTTGCAATTATGGCTTATGCACCTGAGCTAGAGGGAGAGGTAGGATGCCTTGGTGTAGGTACGAAAAGTTGAGGAAGCTTTTGGTCTGAACCGCTCTGCCAGGTGCGAGGTGGTGCTTCCAGAAACCGTCCTCCAAGAGGGATCCTCGGTGCATGGCTTCCACCTGGCACCCTGGGAGAAGCACGAGGAGTACTGGGAACAGCTGAATCAGGAGAGCCCTGCTCAGGGCAGCCCTGTTAGTCTAAGCCGCATGCAGAAAGCTGCCATGAGCGAGTGGTGCTGCATGGCCGAGTGGCTACGCCGCCAAGGCCACCGAGACCTCGAGCCTAAGATTTTTGATGGCATACCGGATTCCAGCAAGATCCGACAGGGCCGAGTCACAGATTGCTCTCTGATGTCGGTGCTGTCGGTGCTCGCTGACTACGAGAGGACTTTCGGAGATCCCGTTCTTCGGAACATCCTTCACCCGGCTTTGGTTCCGAATAGTGCGCCTCCTGCGGTGCAGCACTATGCATGCCGCCTTTTCGTCAATGGCATGCCGAGATGCGTGGTCGTAGATGACACGGTCCCTGTAGCCACGAATGGTCGGCTACTCTGTGCTCATTCAGCCATCCCTCACGAGCTGTGGGTTTTACTTATCGAGAAGGCCGTGGCCACGATTATGGGCGGCTCTTATGCCATGAGAGGCTCGAATCCCTGCACCGATGCGTTTCACATCACTGGCTGGATACCGGAGACTCGGATGCACCAGTCCGAAGTGTTCCATTCTTAACAGAACCAGCATGGCTAGGATCCAAACCGGAGAGACTTTCTGAGGCTGACAGCGGCTTTCTTTGTTTATACAGCGCTTTGAGAGAGCCAAGGAGACGTTCCCTTTGAAGCCAGACTGTGAAGGTGCCCCATCGACGGAAGGCGAGTTTATGGAGATGTTCGACACGGCACAGAAGGGTTTTGGAAATGGGCCCCTTGGGGGAAAGCTTCGGAAGGGCTTCTACAGCCACTTTTCGTTGCGGTAGTTAATTATGATGTAGAACAGCACTACTGGTAGATCACCTGCCGTCACCAGAAGAGTTCTTCTGAAAGGCAGTGTGTGGTCTGCGTGGGAACCACAGAGATAGCGGATGCGACCACCAATGAGCTACTGGGTTCTTGTTAAGGGATTTAATTTAAGTTACCATAATAGGGATCTATAGTAAATATCATGGTTTCCTTATTATGGTAACTTAAAACCCGAAGCCCTAAACCCTAAACCCTAAACCCTAAATCCCTTAACAAGAACCCAGGCTAGCGGTGCGCTCTGGTCATGTCGAAGGTGTCAGTGTCTCCACCGGCCTCGTGGCTGGCCATGCCTACCCGGCTCCCTGCCTGTTAACGTTAAAAAACCATGTTTTTTAACGTTAAAAAGCCTACCCGGCTCCATGCCGGAATTTGGGACCTATACAGCTGACGACAACCTAAGTAAGCTGTAATATCTATAGGAAGCAGAAAGCATTCATTTCAAAACTGATTCCTGCTGTTCGAATTACTTGTTCAGTTTCTTGCTTCCCTTGCAGAAAAGAGGTTCTCCGCTGCTGCACCGTGCAGGGACGCCGGCTCCTGTTCCTCAAGAACCCCTGGGGCCACACGCGATGGAAGGGCAAATTCTCTCCTGGAGATGTCCAGTGGCAAGCAAACCCGGGTCTTGCAGACGCCCTGAACTACGACAACACGGCGGCAGCTGCGAGAGACACCCGGCTGAGATCGGTAAGCCGATAAGCTACTGTGTCCAAAGCGTCCACAGCCAAACGCCCACAATTTCCGAGTCAACAGTTGGGCGAAGCACCCAGGATGATGGATCCTTCTGGATTTCTTGGGAAGAGGTTTTGCGATTCTTCAGCCATTTCTACATTGCCTGGTCGCCTTCAGCACTGAGCCTTCACTCGTCAACCGTCCATGGCTGCTGGAATCCTTGGCCTCACTTCGTGCACAGCACCCTGACGGATGACACAGAGCCTGGGCTTAAAAAGAAGGGCGGAGTGGAGATGTCTTTGCTTATGGGGCTCATGGCCGCTTCGGGCTTACTTTTACATGCCCTTCTGGGAGTGAATTCCGGAACTCCGAATCCTCGAGCCAAGTACTTTTCGGCAGCTGCGAGGCAGAATCCTAGCTCCTATTAAGCCCTCAGCCGGAACAACTTTCGACTCAATACAAGCCTTCAGCCGCGTAAATAAACCCACCGACTTACCCCAATGTCTCCTAAAACCCCGCCTTCCAAGAGCCAGGATCTTCTGGCCTTCAACCCGCAGCTCCTTGGGCTCTTCGTTTGGTGGGTGGAGGGCTTTTCCTTTCGTCTTGGCTCATGTTTGCGCAGAGTTTCGGAGGGCTTTCTCAGGAAGGTCGGATGCTTGTGGAGGGCAAAGCCTCGCTAGGCTTCGAAGTCTAGGCATCAGGGCCTGTGCTCATAGAGGCCCGAGCTTTGGGAGCGAAGCTTCTATGAACGGAATTTGGCCTTGGGTTTCGGAGACAAGGCAGAGGTGCTTGCTTGAGTGATGCAGGTCATCTTGGTAACCTTGCTTTCAGAGTGAGTCCTCTAAGCCTGAGTCGGTGCAGCAGCTTGCAAGCACAACTGAAGAAACTTCAGCTTTCAGGTTCCGGGTGCGGCTCAAACGAGCGCCTCCGGTGAACGAGGAGGTGGGCCTTTGGGCTGTGCTTAGCCGGCACATTCGGTCTCAGGCGGGCCGCATTTGGTTTCTTGCGGGTTCAGCAGTTTGTTCAGCAAGCTGTTCTAGAGTTGTTGAGGGAAAGGTCGCCGAAGCGGCCGACGCGGAAGTGCAGTCCAAGCTCGACCCAGTGCCAGGCGGATTACAACTCACACTTCGTGTCGGTCAGCATCTACCAGGGCGGCTCCAGGGTTTGCTGTCCAAACTCCGTGTTGGAGCAAGGCGTCTTCTCCAACGGCGAGTGTGCACTCGTCAAGCTTCGGAATGATGCGGCAAACTCCAACAGCGACTTCACCCTTGTTGTTTCCCAGCATGGGGCCAAACGAGAGTTCAACTACACCCTTCAAGTGTACACGCAAAGAGAGGCCACCCGAAAGCAACTTCAGCCCAGTGGGTGACTAGCATTGGCCTCCCGCTTTGAGAGCCTCGCAACAGGATATATCAGGGAGACTATAAGAAGCATCCTGCCCTGGGAGGTCCTCATAGAAGAGCTGCCGCCCTTGGTGCCCAGCAGCTACGCCTCCAGCGCAGTCCGCGGCGAGTGGACGCGCCGAACGGCCGGCGGTTGTAGCAACAGCGTGCCGAAGCTGCACACATTCAGATAATACGTAGTCGCTAGCAGTTGCTTCATCCACTGGTGCCCGTCGATTGTCTGCGCAACTACCGCTTGAATAGAATGTTTGTGCTGCACCATGCACCCTCGGAGCCCGAAGCTTCGGATGGACCAAGGTCTGGTCGTACTTTCAAAACCCGCAGTGGGCCTTCGATGTGCCTGCTGGCGGCCTCGACGACCTCATACTCTTCCTGGAGAGCCCAGGTGTTTCGGTCAACGTGCGCGTCTTTACCGGAGCTGTCGCCACGCGAGTGCATTTTCAGCATATACTTTCCGACCAAGTCGATTCTTCACCGTAAGGTGGCACAACATATAGTTGTCAGTAGGTCCTTCTGTGCACCAGAATACCAGAGGCCAGACCCGAAGCTGTCCGAAGCGCAGCATCCAGCGGTGCGTACCGACGTGGCTGTTGCGTTCTGCGGCTGCGCGAGCTCCCACCCGGGCCTCACGTCGCCGTGGTGTCTTCATTCCGCTCCGGTATCTGTGCACCCTACCGACGCTTGTCTTCTTGGTGCTGTTTGTGCAAGATCCTGCAGGTTCTACTAGAAATACCTTTCGCTCCCCTTGCCATTTTAAGCGGCTGTGTTCCTAGTCGAATGCCTTGTGTACTATACAACAGCATCCAAGGACTAGCGTGGCACAGCTCAGCTGCCATAGGACTTGCTCCTCAGCCTCACCCCTTCGTGGATGGGGCACTGGCACACCCGATGAAATCGCTGGTCCAGCAGATCCAGGCAGAAGTCGTGGTTGGACTTACGGGGCTTGTGTCTTATAGTCTAGACGCTGCAGGAAGTCGAAGCACAAAGTAGAAGGCATGAATTCGGAACCAGACTTTGAAGATGTCGGCGTTGCGGCCGGAGCCCTGTCGAGTCAGTCAGCTCTCATAACCCTTCGCGTGCTTTGAGGGTGTGGCGGGTTCCAAGGATGTTGATGCCTGTCTCTGGTTCGTCGACTGTCCCAGAGAACCCAATACCCCTTAATTCAGGAATAAACCTTATCTTATATAGGGGCAATAATATTATGGTTTAAGGTATATTCCTTAATTAAGGGGTATTGGGTTCTCTGAGTGTGACTGTAAACACTTCTCAGAACCGCTTAGGGATGGCGTTACCTTGCGTTTCGTTGAAATCCACCGAGCGCCCAAATTGCAACAACTTGCTTCATATATATATATATACATATATATATATATATATATTTATTTATTTATTTATCTATTTAATTACAAAAATATTTTACATAATAGGTGGGCCGGAGCACGGAGATCCAGCTTCGGTTGGTGGACTTCAGCAAGGCATCGGGCCTTGGGCACATGAGCGCACGACTGCAGACCAACTCGGACGAAGGCCGGGCTCTGTCGGCTTGGCTCTGTCGGCTGCGGGTTTATAGGGTTTAGTCTAGTGCGTATTTATTTTGAGTTTAGGGTTGCTGTGCTGCTTTTCAAAGCATTGAAAGTCTGGTGTGTAGCTATTTCTTATACTTTGGCCTCTCTTTGACGTATGACTTGTTCATGCTTGACCTTCAGTGTCGTCGGGCTTCAGAAATAGTCAGCGGTTGAGGTTGCGTGCAGAGAATTTTGAGGAAGTCTCGGCTGGTTTCCCTTTTTGGAACATTGGCGATGGATAGCTGACTAGTTGCATGTGGGAACAATGGCCCTCGCTCATTGCTCAAGCTTGAACCAATGCTGCACGATCAGAGCTTTTCTCGTTTAAGACGCCACCCCACCATCTCGCGCTGAACCGTCAAGCCCCCTAAACCCTAAACCCCTAAAAGCCCCAAAACCCCTAAAACCCCTAAAGCCCTAAAACCCCTAAGACCCCTAAAAGCCCTAAAGCCCTAAAACCCCTAAAACTCCTAAAACCCTAAACCCCTAAGACCCCTAAACCCCTAAAACCCCTAAAACCCCTAAAGCCCTGAAGCCCCTAAACCCTAAAGCCCCTAAACCCTAAACCCCTAAGACCCCTAAAAGCCCTAAACCCCTAAAACCCCTAAAACCCCTAAAACCCTTAAAACCCCCTAACCCTAAAGCTTTTGCCAAGAAAAGGCGAAGTGCCCCTCCTGGAGCTCCTGAGCGCGCACCCGCAGCGGCCAGCTCCTTACTGCGTGAAGCTCCGGCCCACCGAAGCCGACCAGCCCCTGGGCTTGCTCGAAGATTTCTACAATACATATAAATAGCAGCAAATATAGGTGTGTCTATATATATATATATGTATACATACAAACCTGCTCTAAGATTTTGTAATAATGTGAGGGGCATGTTCCGGAATGACTGGCATGCATCTAAACTAACTTAATTACGGTTCAGGTACGAAATGAATACGAGCGGGAATACAAGCGGAAATACGAGCGGCAATCCAGCAGCAGCAGACAATACGAGAAAAATACGAGCAAATTACAAGAACAAATACAAGCCGAAATACAAGACTACCATGCCTCTGCAAAACGAATACAAGAAAATTACAAGCGATAATACAAGAAAAATGCAAGATAAATACACGATATTTGTTCGCTCGTATTTCTCGTATTTTTATCGTATTCCGTTTTGACGTCGAACACTCCGCTCGTATTTGTCTTGTAGTTGTTATTGCATCAGTTCTCGTATTTATCTTATAAATATTCGTTTGTAGTACATCCCAATGATTCCGGGCCTAGTAATAGATATAACTATAGCGATAAGCAAATGATATGTGTGTATATATATATATAACTTATATATTCGAAGCATTTAACGGGTTCTTATGGCATTTATGGCATTGACTACTGTAGCGGTTTCTTGACGAATGAAGGCTTCTTACAGCGGTCTGTAGATGCTTGCAATTAGGGTTCTTGCAGAGCCGAGTTGGGATTCAACATGTGGGTCTGCTGGATGGAACATGATTGTTGCACAAATGGGTTAAGCAGAAGACCATGTTCAGGATGATCAGACTGTCAAGCTGCAGCTAAGCATGGCAACAGCAATAGCAATGGTAGCTGGGCTTACATCAACAATTACGAGGAAGCACTTGGACAAAAGGGTGGCAAAAGCCAGCAGCAGCCCGATAGTGGCAGCAGTTAGTACGCTATATTGCCACAATGATAATTTGCCTTGGTAGGCACACTGCATGGGAAATAATTGTGCATATGGCACCACCAAGCAGACATGCAATTACATAGACACAGTTAGATACCCGCCAGCGGCTGTCATGACTTAGTGATTTAGTCCTGGAGTGGCAGAGGCTGACATGTAATGCAATAGGCTGCTACACTGATGTTGCACATCTGCTGCTACAAGCAGAGCAAAGGTCAACAAAAGCACGATGCCAACGGTCGACTTATATATATCTATATATATATATATATGTATATATATATATATATATTATATATATATATATATCAATCGATGAGCCCAGAAAAAGTAGACCACGAATGCCGTTCGGTCTTTCACAACTGATCAGTATGGCATGTGTTCGACATACCTGTGGTTGTGGAGACATTGAAAAAACCTCCATACCGTCATGTGCCAGCATGCAAGCCTCACAATTGTACTACTGTATAGGAAAGTTGCATGATTCTCATACAGGGGTTCTAGTCGCAGGGCTATGGTGGTTCGACGGCCTATATGGACTACAGTATGTCTACGCAGCGAAAATGGGTTGTTGAGGGATGTGAGGATCTCCTGCCAATGTGCAAGATATTTCCGCACCAAATTCATCTTTATCGACTTTATCGCTATTCTCACAGGATGGTGGGTCGACGATTGCATAGGGCCGCCCATAAAACATTTCGCTTGTAGGAGGCAGCGTCAGACTTGCAAGTTTACGTTACAGGCTCGTGCAGCGCGTGGGCCTCAAGAGCAACTGAGGTATTACCAATTGTCTGGCGCAGCCGCTGCCGGGATGAATAGCAAGATTGTTGAACTATGTCTGTAGCTCCGGAGCACTAGGAAGCATAATACTTACAGGGGTCCTCAAAATTGACTCATTACCACGGCGATTAAAAGATTGACCCGAAACTCCTGAAGCTTGCCCAGTTCTGGATTGCAAAGTCTACGAACCTGCCAGGTGATCGTGTTTGCGCAGCTGGTCCCGGGCGAGAGCTACGTGCTGGAGACCAAGGTTCCCCGCAACAGAGCCACGAGGGATGCCAAGCTCTACATCAACTCAGACAAGGCCAGGGGAGGTTGGGGGAGAAGATAAGAGCGGTAGAGGTGGTAGAGGACAGCATCGTTGTAGATGAGTCTGTCTGAGTAAGTCTAGGAGTGTAATTCCCACTACCACGATGCGATCTTTGCTCACAAGGCTATCGTCATTGACAACTTGACGAGTCCACGGAATCGCCGAAGATAGCCGCGCCGTGTGTGCATTCCCACTTCGAGATGGCGACACATCTTCCGATTCGAGACATTGGTGTCGTCTTCAGGATCTGCCTGCGTTGGTGCGGAATGCCTGAGCCCAGCATCTTTCGGCCAAGCAGGTTTCAGGCCAAGGAGACGTCGCGAGCCAGGGCCGCTGTTGAAGACGTGGAAGCTCCGACCCCGTTTGGAGGGCAAGCCGGCCTCTGAACTGTTCCCTTCCTCCCGTGACGACGGTTTCCACGATGCCGAGATCTACGAGCTCATGCACTGAGAAGCAGGGTCTATGCTGAAGAAGCCATGCAAGCTAGATCTCCTGATGCCCACCATGCCAAGACAGTACCCCTTTGAGGCTGCAGCGTGGCTACAGAGTCTCACTTTCCATCAGCTCGGGATCTGATCGATCTCTTGCACAGATCAGAAGGAAACTTCGAGGAGCAAAGCAACTCAAGCTTTGGGCTCGGCGCATGTTCGGGATTCGACCAAGTAAGGCTCAGGACTCGGCGCAGTGGCAGCTGGATATCTTTTGCAGTGGTCTCTGTTGGACTTGAGCAAGGCTTTGGGTTTTGAGCTGGAGTGGCTTGGAGATCGTGGGGGCGAGATTTCTACAGGCAGAGCCTGTCTGGAAAAACTGAAAGCACAGTGCTGACACCTGCACTCCACGCCCAGCCCCAATCTAGAACGCATACAGCGCTAGAATCCTGCATCTCCGAAGCCCACAAAGTTTGTTTATAGTTCGATCGAACCCTCCTATGCAAGTCTGCAGGGTTTTGAGGGGGGATGGGCAAGGCAGACCGCTTTCCGCTGTCTCAGCTCTTTTGCTGCAGCTCCCGAAGCCTAAAAAGCCTCTCACCATGAACACTTCAACCCACTCCTATTGTGAGTCCCAAGCCAAATAACCCGAAAGCCCGAAGAGATGCTAGACCTGTGTCGACGGATGAAGAGGCCGCCACCGGAGCGGGCGAAGTCTGCCCCGGATGCCGTCAGCGAGTGCCGGATTTGAGGTGCCAGAATGCTTGGAGTCAAGCGTGGTAGGACTTGAAGGATTTAAGTTCTCTTTGTTTTGTGCCTTCAGTGTGCAGAGAATATATTAGCATAGTAGTTTCTCACGTGTTCTTTTTTGGGATGTTGGGCCTTCTTCTGTCCAGGTTTCAGGCTACGTGGTGTGATTCCGTGGCGGCTTTGGCCCCGGCCAGGCGTCACATGAAGCGCTGCTGCCCTGAGCAGTTGCCAGAACGGTCTGTGGACGATCTCGAGGTGCGATGCAAACACCGAAGAGCGATGTACTGTGAAAGGAAAGACTTCAGGATCCGTAGCGACTCCACGTATGAAGCCGGCACCGACAGAATTCTGCATTGCGATTGATCGTCAGCCTGACCCCTCTTTGTCGCGATGATCTGGCATGGGATAACCCTGAGGGT